ACAACTGTCTGTAACTCCAGTTCCAGGGGATCTGACATCTTCATACAGGCATGCATGTAGGCAAAATACCAATGTATATAAAATAAAATATAAATGTAAAAGTAGTTCTGAGACAGGGTCTCACTAAGTTGTCCCAGCTGGCCTTAAACTCATTCTGTTAAGCCTTAAACATATAACCCTCCTTCATCAGCCTCCTAAGAAACTGGGGTTACAGAACAGTACCACCCTGCTGGGGCTATATGCAAGCCTATGGTTTGGAGCAGTGCTAATCACATAGTAATTCTCAGCTAATGTCATTATTTGCTCTTTTGTATTCATCATGCTTTTAAGTCTGTTTTGAAACAAAACCAGTCTTTCTTATCTTATCCTTTTCTTTTCTTCCATTCTGTCCCTGTCTCTTTTCATGTATTTTGTAGTTCACTTTAGCTCTCCTCACTTTTTTGTCTCAACAGTTACATGTATATTTATGAAGAGAAATGAGTTGGAAAGATCCCATTGAGGTTCTCCCTAGCAGGGTATTAATAGATGGATGAATCACCTAGGTTAGCAGTGGTATGATTGAATGCATTCAATTATCTGGTTGATTAAGTGTATAGTGGACATGTATGTGTGGGAGGAAGGCTTCCAGAGCAACCTTGGGCTATAAGAGCCAACTCAAATCACATATTGATTTTGAGAGAGACCAGACCACACACTTCCTGGGCAGTAGCAGGCTGACTCCCAACTTTGATAGCGACAAGAGTCCTTTATCAGCAACCCAGACTTGCCTTGGGTTCAGTTTCTTACAAACAGATTCTTTAATTAATTAATATCCTTTAGCTTCCCCTTCCCACTTCTCAAGAACAATGCAGAGGAATTTTCTGGGGAGAGGAATTGCATACCACTGTAAGTTAACTATGATTCTTTGTTATTGCACAAGTTGCTCACACCTCTAGGTAGCACTTGGGCTTTGTCATATTCCACCCTTTATTTTGTTAATGTTGACCCACATTACTCCTGGAGAGTACATGTATGGTATTCAGGTCTACAGATTCTACCCTAATCCTTACCTGTACCACACCAGGTCGTCCCACTATCATCTTAGGGTCTTTAGATTTTGATTCTGTCTTGTTTTTAGTTAGGTCTTATTATTTATGTCTAAACTCACAAGTCACATTCTCAGAGATGCCTTTTTCAGCTCCACTATCTAAAGTAGCTTTCTCTCTGGATCATTCTCTATTTTGTACCTTGTCATGTTTTCCTGATAGCATACACTACAATTAGCAACTGTCTTACTTGACTCTATGGTCTGTCTCCCTTACTGGAATGTGAGTCACAAGAGGACATGGATTTTGTCTGTTTTATCCATTCTAGAATCCCTGGTGTCTAGAACAGCAGGTGCTGTTTTTATTTTTTTATTTTATTTTACTCTTCACTAACATCCCCAGCACCCAGTACAGTGCCTGGTGCTGGTTAATAAAGAATTGTTGGTTGTGTCCTATAACAATACTTGACGGAAAGTAGGAGCATGGGTTTGAAGCTAGCCTGGGCTACAAGTGAGTTTGAGGCTATGATGGTTATGCAATGAAACCCTGTGTCAAAACAAACAAACAAACAAAAAACCAAAAAAAAAAAAACCCCAAAAACAAAAACAAAGCAAAACAATAGAATGGAAGAAGGGTTAAAAATAAAGGAAGAAGAGAATGATCATTGGATGAGTTTTTGTCTCATATAATGTCTTAATATACTCTAAGTTAAAACTATATTTTATTTTCCCCACAAAAGCTGTTTTCCTGTATACACTGGCTGATACACTCTGACACTCAACTCAGATATGAACTCCTATCTCTTTCCCTCATTCACCTAAGGATTTCAATTAATCTTAAGGGGTCCTGGGTGGTGGTGGCACACACTTTTAGTCCCAGCCCTTGGGAGGCCGAGGCAGGTGGATCTCTGTGAGTTTGAGACCAGCCTGGTCTTCAAGACCTAGTTCCAGGACAAGCTCCAAAGCAAACAGAGAAACCCTGTTTTGAAAAAAAAAATTAGTCTTAAAGGTCTGCCTATTCAGCTTCCCAAATATCCAGATTAGCAGATGATTTTCTGGCCTCATTCACTCCCTTTATTCCCCTTTTTTTCTCCAGCCTAGTGCAACATTATGTCCCTTACTGATTCTTTGTAAAGAAAAAAAAACCAACAACAACTTAATCCGCAAATATTGTCATCTTGCTATACTATCACATACTAATATGTTTTATAAAGCCGACACTTGATTTAAACTGCTGTTTGTTTTCACAGAGAGCCTTGTCACAATTTTCCTTATGTTAAGGGGATATTAGAGCTATCTTAGAAATTTTGAGGTACAGCTGGGCATAGTGGTCTACACCTTTAATCCCAGATCTTAGGAGATAGAGGCAGGCAGATCTCTGAATTTCAGGACAGCCAGAGTTACAAAATGAGATCCTGTCTCCAAACAAACAAAAGAAAATTTCAGGTTCACCTAGTAAGTTCATTTGGGGGTTATGCTTAGTTTGTGTTTCACAGGACTTTTTTATTTGTAGTTTGTATTATTTCTAGCCAGTTATTACCCAGCTGCTGAATTTATTACTAAAAAATATTCTAACTGTACTTCTTTGAAGCTAATTTTAGTATTTATTGGTCTATAGTCTTTTCTAAGAAGTCCTTCAGTTCCTTCATCTAGAAGTATGTAAACTTCAGGTTTCAATAAAGTTTCACACTACTCTGGCTAAGATAAATATGACTCATATGACTCAGTTATTAGAGAGAAGATTCAGTGGTTAAGAGTGCTTACTGCTGTTGCAGAGGATCCAGGTTCAATTGCCAGGAACCATGGCAGTTCATATCCTCCTATAACTGGGATCCAGTGCCCACTTCTGACCTTCATAAAGTCCTGCACACATGTGCTTCACATACATACACTCAGGCACACACACACACACACACACACACACACACACACACACACACACATTTTGTAAAACAGTCAGTAGTTTCTTATTAAAGAACACAATTGAAACTTTTGCATTTTTGTATTGTAATATCTCTTGATCTAATTCCTTACAGTCCGACTCCCCACGTGCCTCTATGCATTTGTGCATCTTATTTTTGTGTACAATGTTATTAAACTTTTTTTGAGCAGTGATCTCATGTACCTGAGGCTGGGCTGGAACTTATGTAGCTAAGGATGACTTTGAACTTCTGATCTTCCTGAGTACAAAGGCTACTAGGTTTATGAAGTGCTGGGGATTGAACACTGGGGCTTTGTGTATGCTAAACAAGTATTCTACCAACCAAGATGCATCCTATGCCTTAGTAACTCTATACATTCACTTAGTGTACCTGAAGTACATCTTACAATAGTGAGCAGCCCTTGAGGCTCTTAGGTTATTTTACTCTCCTTTTTTTTTCTATTTCTCTTTCTTTTCATCTTAAACTTGTGATTCTCCTGCTCAATCCTCTCAGATTCTTTTAGAGTTCTCCACCAGCTGGTAATCACAACACTCAAGAACCAGGGACTGAGGTGGAGAGGAGAAATGGGGGAGCAAGGAGAGGTAAATTATTTTTCAGTTGTGAGGATCTTTTCGTCTTTATATTTCTGTTCACCAGTCAGAAAAAAACATTGTACACACATTCTCTTTTCCATTCCACTTTCCCTCTTTTATTAAGAAAACAATTTTTAACACACTTTCTTTTATAAAGTAATGAGATTCTCTAGGAAAGTGATAACCGTAAAAGAACTAGAGCTATTTCGTTAATGTTTGAGGGGGAAAAAAAGAAAGAAAGAAAACAGCGCCATCTTGAAACATAGTACATTCAGTCAGGAAAATCCTGGTATAGGTGTATGGAAATCCTTGAACTGCATCCACTCCTTACGGATTGAACCTGCAGGGTCGGTGAAGAGAACTTGGGAAGAGAAAGGGAGACTGACAACTCGATGTGGGGGGAAATGAGAAGCTGTTTTCAATTTTCAGGCTCTCAAATCATTTGCTTTCTCTAAACCTGTTTTTTCATTCGGTTGCAATCACCGACTTTCCTCTCACAGACCGAAGATGAAACGATACACCGGCCATGGGAAAAAGACCCAGCCGGCTAAAAGCGCTGGGTGGACGGGAGCTGCAGGGAGTATTCCGCCCCTTCCAAGGCTCAAGCCCGCCCCCGCAGCCCTACCTATCAATTCTGCAGTTTGGAGTCAGAGTTCACCTCCCCTCATAGGAGGAGACGAGGGAGGGGCAGTGTGTGTTAGGAGGGAGGGAGGAGGAAGGTGCCGGGTTTCTTTAACTCCCAGTTTGCCCAGGGGTAGGGAAGACTTGGGTTCCAGGCCCCACTCAAAATGGAGCCAAACTACTGCCTCGCCTAAGATGGCGGCTTCTCCGCCTATCAACTCAAGGTCTCGAGCGGCAATTGGGCCACCCCGAGGAGGAGCAAGGCCTCGGACTTACTGGGCACCGCCCCGCTCTCTCAAGGTGTCGCCCCGCCCCATGACGTCACGCGAGAGCCGCCGGCTTGACGCTCTGGGCTCCACCTTCACCTCGCATGCCCGGGCCTCATAAGATGGCGGCGAGCTTGTCTCCTCACGGCACGCCGCCACTCTCAATATGGTAGCTGTTTACCATATCTCTCCTCCCCTCTCCGCCTCAACTTCCTCGTTATTTTGAATAAACTTTATTGATTGCTTTGGATTTACTGCCACTATTGCTGGCTTCTCCTGGCGACGTCTCTGGCAATCTATTCCAGACCTGGCGGCCGGTTCATCACATCAAAGCTAGCGCCCGACGGCCGCGCGACAAAGCCACTAGCCAGTTCGCCCGGCGTTCCCCACCCCCGGATTTGGCCTCGGTCTCAGCAAGGCCCTAAACCGGCCAGACTGTGGGAGTGCGGAGATGAACATGGCTCTAAAGCCCCGTCAGACTACAGGCACTGCGTGACGCGGCATGTGGTTTCTAGGAGAAGGCAAGTAAGGTTCCCACTTTTACAGCGGCAATCCCAGAATGCCTCGCGCGCTGCCTCCGGGGCCGGAACTGCCCGAATAGCCTCTGCTTAGCATAGCGCTGTGTTGCCCCGGAGCGAGCCCAGCCGCTGGCGAGTCTCTGGGGCTGAGCTCTGCGTCTCGAGGAGTCCGTGCAGCCTTGGACATGAAGAGGTTCCTGTAGGGTTTGGGACCGAGGACATTCTTGTCAGGTTTGGGGCGTGAAAAGGTTCCTGTCAGTCGGGGAGGCGCCAAGAGATCCTCGTAAGTTTTGGGGGCTACAGACGAGATAATCTTGTCTAAGATGAAACCTCTGTCAGCTGAGAGGTACGGCAGAGCTCTCGGGCGTTCTGAGGGGACCGCAAGGAAATGCCTGCCGTTTGGAATTGGTGGGAAACAAAATCTTTGCTTAGTTTTCCCGGTGTGAGGAAATTCTAGTCTGTTTACGGGGGCTTCCAAGAGATCCTTTTTAGTGTCAGGGGCGAGAGGAGATTCCTGTCAGCTTTGAAGTAGAGGACAACATTGCGATTAATTTTATTTTGGACCATAATGAGACCCTTCGCTGGTCGGGAAGGGATGATATTGAGAATGACGAAAAGGAGGAGCATTTGAACTCTGCAAATGCACCCCCAGAACTGTGATTTGAGTTGGGTGTCTAGTCTTGTTCCTGAAGGCTTTGGGGGTAATTTGGGGATAACCTGCGCAGACTTTGAGGGGTTTCTGCATCTCTGGTGCTTCCTATTTGGGGGGCTAGAGAGGGTCTCTCCCTCAGCCTCCCTCCTCCCAGCCTCATCCTTTATGTCGTGGTTTGCGTCATAATAAAAGGAGCTGGGAGTCCTGGGAAGCAAGAGGCCAGCGAAGAGAGGGTTCGGTAAGGGATTAAAGAAGCTTCCCGAAAGCTTTCAGATATTTACATGAAACCCGGAAAGAAGTTGTCACTGACTTCAGGGCCAAAGAAGGTACAGGGCTGGGGAAGGTGTTTGAAGCAAGGCAGAGCAGAACGGAGCGCAGTACGTTCTTTCTGTTCTTTCCAAGTGAAAGAAATGCCTAAGGGTGGGTGGGTGGGTGGACTTTCTCCACTTAACTCCTTTGCACTCTCACCAGCTGTGTTGAGTCCTGGCTTGGTTACTCCCTATTTCAGAACTGGAGGTTGGTACCCAGGGGGTGGAGTGGGGGCGGGGACACGGGACGATTTGGAAACCCGGGCTGGATTCACCTTGTAACAAGTGTTGTTTGTGTCCAGCCTTCGTCTAGGGAAGGTGCTTGCCGCTGCCTTCTGACCCCTTAAAGCCCCAAACCTGGCACGACGCAAAACGATCCACCCCCCAGTGAAGATGGCCTCGGTGCCTGTGTATTGCCTCTGCCGACTGCCTTATGATGTGACCCGCTTCATGATCGAGTGTGACATGTGCCAGGACTGGTTTCACGGCAGGTAAGAAGGGCCGGCCAGGCTGGTTAGGGTGCACTGGCCAAGTGTGTAGTGTGTGTATTCACTTGCCCTCTCTTCTCAGCCTGGTTTTCCACTCTTGCACAGAAACTAACCCCTCCCTCAGTTTACTTTCAGTTCCCCACTACTAGACCCCACTACTAGTCTTAGGTTTTTCTATCCTTCCTTGCAGTCTAGAGCCGTGCATGCATATTTGATTTTGTAGCTGCCTTCTAGCCACGAAGAAAGTTATCAGCTTTGTATCCTGGCTGCTGTGTTTTCCCTCATACTCTGGCTTTGGGGGAGGCAGTACTGCATTTTTGAGATATCTGAGTCCAAGAACATGGGTTTCTTTGTAACTTACTATCAGTGGCCTTGGACTAGTTGCTTTTGCTTCTGTGAGCCTCCCTTACAAATCAATACCCCTTTCATAGCTGTAAAGCAGTTTGCATGCATTCAATTAATGGAGGAAGAACTGAAATAGTATTTTATTTCTGTGCTGTCTGCAGGACAAGCTAACTAAATTAAATTTCAGAGATACAGGGCAAAACAATAGACTGAATAGAATGCACCTGTCATGAGTTTCTAGTGAGGTTAGTGTATGTAATAAAAAACTCATAATTTTATCCTATTACTTACTGGGAGGATTTGCATACTGGATTATAATAAAAGCAGTATATGGTACCTTTCTGGTATATTATATAATACATTATATTTGATTCTAGAATTTTTAGTTGTCATCTTAACTTTCAGAGGAGCTGTTCCTATTATGCTCAAAAGCAAAGTAAAGGCACTGGTGTTATCAAAATTCTGACCTAAGGTGGGACTGCCTTGATGCAGTAATCCAGGTTCACATTTAATTTACTTTTACTGATTATTATATCCTGAGAGTTCTATGTTCTGCCTCATGTTATTTTGTGTAATGGGGAGAAACTTAGGGGTGTGGCCTTTTTCCTTCACTCTGGAAATGTGAGAATTAAGATGTATTTCATAAGGGCTGGGAAATGTAGTTCACTTTTTAAAATGTTTGTCTGGCACACAGGAAGATCTGAGTTCAGTCCCTATCACTGCATAGACTGTGTGTGATGTAATGTCATTACTTGGGAGTGACATAGTTCCATGCCAGCTTGGCACACATGAGATCTTGTCTCAAAAAAAAAAAAAATCTTTCATAGCCATGCATGGTGGTACATACTTGTAATCCCAGTCCTGTCTAATTTGGAATCCTATATAATGTACTGGCTGAGGCTACTGGGTCTCATGATCAAGACCTGCCTGAGCTATAAAGCCAGTTCAAGGCCAGCATAGCCAATTTAGCAAAATGAATAATGTAAAGAGCTTGGGGTATACTTTAGTGGTAAGCTCGTATCTAGCATATGTAAGGGACTGGGCTCAATTCCCAGTATCACACGCACCTAAAGGAAGTCAACTTCCCTGGTTGTTTTTAACAGTGTTAATCAGGTGTCACTCCTCAGCTTAAATTATTCTCTCAATGGTTCCCCTACAAAGTAAACTTCAATTTTTTTCTGTGATAGACAAACATATTTTGATCTACTTAATCTAATTTCTTGCCATACCTGTCCCCCTGTTTTTTAGATATAGGGTTTAATTACTTAGCCTGGCTGGTCTGGAACTTGAAATGTAAGTCAGGCTGGCCTTGGCTTCACAGAGATCCACATGCCTCTAATTCTCAAGTGTGAGAATTAAAAGTGTGAGCCTCTATGCCAGCCTTGTTTTTATGACCCAGCAAAGCTAAATTATCTCCAATTCTGGGACACTATCCTCCTTTATGCTTTTGTTTTTGCACATACTATTCCTTTTGATGCTACTCCTGTACAGCTCACAGAATTCTGCTTTATAAAATGCCTTCTTTGTCTGGCTTCCTCTTGTCCTTTGTATACATCTTTATTAAAAAATAGCTATTTCATCTTATAGTTATACTATGTCTGTGTCACTGTGCCTAGTATTTCTAGAGTCCGGTTCAATGCTAAATATGCAATAGATGGTGAGTATATTTTGAATAAATGAAGGAGTCTTCATGAAAAAAAGCTATTGCACTGTGGCCCTTAGTTTGTATCGGTAGTGCGTAAGTTTAGTATCTGGAAAACCTCTTTTGCTCACAGTTTAGAGATCTTGGAGCAGAGAACAGGGATGAATGCTTCCTAAGTACTTACTCTGTGTCCAACTCCATAACTGACATTCCATAAATTATTTTGTCTATACCTAGGTCTGAAAGTTAAATTTTTTCTGCTTGTGTGTGTGTTTATGTATGTGGGTGGGTACACATGGGTGTGTGCGTGGAGGCCAGAGGTCAAGCTCAGGCTTCTTAGCTTAGGAGCCACCCACCTTGTTTTTTTGAGATAAGATTTCCCACTGGTCTGGTATGTTATAAGTAGGGTAGGCTGGCTGACCAGAGAGCCAGAGAGCTCCAGGAATCTTCCCATCTCTGTCTCCCCACCACTGGGATTACATGTACGGATTACATGTACTCCAAGCTTTTTTACATATCTTCTGGAGGTTGAACTGAGGTCCTTGTGTTTTTCTAGTAAGCATTTTGCTCACTGAGCCTTGTCCCCAGCCTGAAAGTTGAGTTGTAAGATTGTGATCCTCTGAGTATGGTGTATATTCATCCATGTGTGCACATGCAGGGGCTTGAAGAGGATGTCAACCGAAAACTTGGTTTAGACTAGCTGGCTAGTGAGCTCCAGAAATCCACTTGTCTGTTTCCCCTCAGTGTTAAGTAATGCAGCTTGTGGTCATACACAGTTTTATGTTGGCTTGGGGGGGGGGGATTTAAACTTAGGTCCTCTTGCTTTTCATAGCAAACATTCCTTACTCACTGAGCCAGCATCACTCTAATTCTTGAAAGTTATATTTTAAAATTACCTTATTTTTCATGTGTACAAGGCTTGCTTGTGCACACATGTGGCATGATAAACATGTGGAAATCGCAGGAGTCAATTTTCTCCTTCCACCAAGTGAGACCAGGAATGAACTCAGGTTGTCAGGCTTGATGACAAGTACCACCTGCTGAGCCATCTCATCAGCCCCAACCCACATTTTTAAAAGAATGATATTTTTTAAACTGGGTTTTGGGACACATCCCTGTAATTACAGCTACTTTGGAGACTGAGAAAGAGATATTGCAAGTTCAACACTGGCCTTCGGAAAAAAATATTTTTTTTTTCTGATTGTATAGGTGAGACATGTCCTTTATAGAAAATACTAGAAGGAAATAAAAAAATCATCTGTAAGTCTGTTTATTTTGTTGCTATTACATTGATTCTTGTCTTTTGATTTATAACATGTTTTTATAGGTTAGGATTATATCGTAAATACCATTTTGTAACCCCCCCACACACACACCTAACATTATAATGTGAGTATTTACCAGGGTGTAAAATATTCATCTAAAACCTGTTTCTGATATCTTGTAGTGTATATGTTTGGTACCAGTTACTTGGTCATTCCCTTTATGTTTGTAAACTTAAATTATTTGGGTTTTTTGTTTGTTTGTTTGAGATATGATTTCTCTGTGTTATAACCCTAGCTGTCCTAGAACTAGCTCTGTAGATGAGGCTGGCTTCAAACTCACTGAGATCCGCCTGCCTCTGACTCCTGACTGCTGGGACTAAAGGCGTGTGCTACAACCACCCACCTGAAACTTAAGAACTTTAAACTTAGAAATGTTTATGGGTTTATGGGTCAGATCTATCCTTAATCACAATTCTAAGGTGTATTCTGGTTTTGTTTGTACATTCTGACACATGTTTCATGAAAGCATCCAGTTTTAAAAATCTCTTCTGCTGCTTTCTATGGGCTGCCAAAGAACAAGGAACCTAACTGAAAACCAGATCCTTTATGGGTGGCTGGCAGCTCTTGCTTACTCAGTATACTCTTATCCCACCATGCTCACTGTACTCTTAAGTTTTTATTTTAGCTCAATTGGAAATTACTTATTGTGGTGTTTTCATGATTGCTTATAATAGTTGTGTGTGTTGTACAATTATGTGTGTGCTTGTATGGGTATGAGTATGAGCATATACTTGTGAACTCACAGAAACCAGAGGAGGACATTTAAGTATTTCGCTGTGTCCTTCTCTATTTTATTTCCTTGAGACAGTCTCTCACTGAATTTTGAGTTAATCTGGTGGCTAGAAAGTCCCAGTGATTTTTTTTTTCTGCCTTTGCCCCTCACAGGACTGGGGTTACTGGTCACACCTGACTTTCACATGGGTGCTAGGATCTGTGTCCTAAGGTCCTCAAACTTGCAAAGCAAGGCCTTTTACCACTGAGACATTTCTCATGCCTCAATCTCACAGGTTTATTTTCTACAAATGCCTACCTTCATTCCCAGCATTTGTGAGGCAGAGGCAGAGGCAGGCAGGTCTCAGAGTTTGAGTCCAGCCTGGTCTATGGAATGGTTTCCAAGATAGCCAAGGCTACACAGAGAAACCCCATGTCCAGAAGCCAAAAAAAAAAAAAAAAAAAAAAAAAGAGAAGAATCCTGTGGAGGTTAAAGGTTAAGTGACTTTCTGAGTGTGGACTTTCTGACTTTAGAGACAATGTTCTCAAAATTAGAAAAAATGCCAAATAATGTCATTCTTTTTGTTAGGTAGTTGAGTTGTGCAGTGCCCTTTAAACTTTAGTTAAACTTTAAACTTTATTTGAAAGACCCATTAAAAAAAGATTTCCATCTCAGTTTCTGATTTAGTAAGTAAATGGGACCTATATTTGAGAAACATACATTTAAAGCAGACTCAATTTCTTCTCCTTGCATAGAGTATATAACATCTGATATTGGAGGATGGATGAGATAACATTATCTTTACTATATACCAATTATTCTCAAAGTATTTCATCTCTGTGAGGCCTTAGTTTTCCTGATAATAGTTATGATACTTTAAATAGAAATGAAATATACATGCTAATTTTTGTTTTTATTAGTATGTAATAATGGATCTTATGACATTTATTTATTTACTTATTTATTTTGGTTTTTTGAG